GGGGGTTCTTTAACGCGTTTGGGCGACTATAACGGATAGTTTATTTAGAGACCTTAATTTAATAATGCGTAAACTTTCAATCGATAAAGAAAATGATGTAAAACGTCTTTTAGATCAAGGCAGGCCTTATATACTGAGATAGCTCGTGAATGTAATGTCAATAAGGCCACAATATCCCGAGTCAAAGCTCAATATGATCCAACCCGTCCTTGCAATGAGCCTGGGCTTCCAAAGATATTGAAAAACAGGGAGGTAGCTCGACTTGTACGAGAAGTAACATTGGTGCAATTGAATCTGCACAGAAAGCTTCAAAAATTATAGAAACAATATTAGATAGACCAGTTTTCTAGATCGATCGTATCGAGAGCATTCCCTTTTGCTGGTTTTTTATGCGAAAAAAATGTTAATTAAACCCACTTTGGTAGACCATCACAACGATTAAGATTTGAGCTTGCGAAGAAGCCCAAACCCGGTTCCATTTTTGACTGGGAAAAAGTAATTTTTCGGACGAGACCAAGATCAATCGATATGGCTTAGAGGGTACTAGGTGGTGTTCGAAGCGATCCGGCGATAATCGAATATTTTATCATTAGGTGGTGCAAGCGTATAAACATGGGGGAGGATCGGATATTTGGAAAAAGTGACAGGGAGCATCACCGCAAGTACGCTTTTAGACATTATTAAGGATGACATACCCAGAACATGCGATTGGTATGGCCTTGGCCTTGGTAAAATGGTTTTTCAGCATGACTTCAATAATAATCTTTCCAAGTGCTAGCCTGGCCTCCGCAATCTCCTGGTCTCAATCCCATTGAGCATGCATGGGGAATCAATACGATTCAGCTCCTGCTAAGTTGGACGAGTTTTTGACACGTGTACAATCAAAATGGAAAAATATAACACCGGATCAACGCTATAATCTGTTTGCAATTATGCCAAAGAGGATACAAGCAGTGATTCTGGAAAAAGGGAGCTATACTAATTATTAAAACCTCGTTTGTCACATTATATTTTTTCTACCTGCAAAGTTGTTTCTAAAATCTTACAACTTTAAAAGCTTTTCGAATATTTTTTAAACCAACTTAAGATTAAGTATTAACAAAATGTAGCTAGAAAATAGAAATTTATTTGTATAAATTTTAAATTAATACATTAAGTTATTGAAAAATTATTCTATATTAAATGAAAAAACGCAAAACATTGAAACAATTTTGCACGATAGTGTATGAAATACAGGAACCATTAAACACAAACCCCCTAAATATTCACGGGTCGAGTAAACAAATAAACTTCCTGAGAAACAGCCAATAAAAATGAAAGAAAAGAGAATTAATTTACTACCACATACTAAATAATTTAACACACTTTATTAATTGTATACAAACTAAAAGTAAAATTTTATTAAAAACTAATCTGGTTTAAATTTTTATTGTACAAAAAAATATGGAAGCGTTCTTGACTTTTGATAAATGAAAAAAAACAGACCAAAACAGGTCAATAAAGCATTCCTTGCTCTACTATTTTTTCGTGCCTTGTGTTTTATATATTCCATTATATACACTACATTATTTTACTTAATTATACACATAATTTATATATATTTAATAAACTATTATAAATAATTAGATAAGGCATCTGTATTATGTTTACTAATACGTGTTACCACTACTTTTGAGAGAAATCGGTCGCCCATCTTGTCTTAATTCTCCTCTTTAGTTTACCCACAGGTTCGAGAGGGCTGTGAAGAGTATGCTAGGTTGCAGTAATAAGTCGTGCTCTTGCTAAAAGACAGCACTTTCGAAGGGTTGGTTAGTTACCGACCATAGCTGCTTACATTTTGGCGTTGATATCGTTGTTAACCCTTCGTAGCACGGGGAGCCAATTGTTCATGGGTCATTTGAACTGATTTAACTGTTAGCTATACATTGCAACGGAGGGTTAAATTTGGCAAGTTTGTGCACCCTATACGATTAACCACATCTATCGGGAAAGGGAAACTACCTCTTTTATACTTTTGGTTAATTGACAGGTTATAAGTCCAGTGCTCTGCGAGGATAGGGATTCTGTTCCCAGAGACAGCCATATATAGTTAAAATATTTCAACTTACTTTTTAACTCATTTTTATATTCATAGCCCTTTTTTTCGGCAAAGGATACCCTAAACTTTTTATCCCTCTTCCTTTTGGCAACTAGATTAAAGTCCTTCCAAAAACATATTCGCTTACCGCCCGAAACTGATTTCCATAAGCTTTAAGGTGTAGCTTTAATTTATTATATAAAATAGTCACCCTTGACCCCATGTCTAGGTGCTTAAAAGATACGTTGCAGGTCAGTGAATTCTGAATAGAAAACCGTGTTAGACTTAATCAAATTAGAATAAAACTAAAACAACGCGCATTTGAAGAGCGCTTTCGAGAAATCTGGCTAATGGTTCTGAATTTTTTAGCCAATGGATTTCCGAATTTTAATTAAAATTTAGTGAATTTTGATTTGTTGTTTACCCTCACACGTGGTATCATTATCCTAGAAATCGATAATGGATAAAACAAGTTACTTCTTTGAAGGTGGAACGAGGTTCACAAACACATCCCTAGGACCAAGTCATAAATACTGTTCCTGTCCCTTGAGAGGGGCTTGTATAAGTTTTTTTTAATAATTTATTTAACTTAGTATGTGTAGGTGCCTTTATCTATCATCGGGAGTTTACAACTTACCAATACCCACTCTAACTGCACATTTGTCAAAACACAAGTATTTGTGTTTACGCTTGTGCTTTGATTTTCGAAAAAACTACCAAATAATGTTTAAATGTTTTCACAAGTTTTTAAATTATTAAGGGTCGACTTTTTAAAGTGTGAGGACTTTGAAAGATACTGATAGTTAAAAAGTTTATTAGCTTTTTTAAACAGCAGATAATATATTAAGATATAAGTTTAACAGTTAGACTAAATAGTATAGCCTCGCCTAATTGTCTTTGTATTTTTAAGGTTAATTTGGCACTCTTTAATTTCCTCCTAATTCACGCGGTGTGACTAGTGCTCTAAAAGTTAAATACATAGTATTTTCATTGATAACAACCTTTAGAAAAAGTAAGCACTTTAGCCTAAACTTCTATGTTTCGCGTTCCAGTTTTTTAGTTACCATTAATTTAACGCCATGATTATATGAAACCTGAGATTTTAGGTCGACAGATAAAGGTAGTATTCTTTTGCCGGGCTTGTGGTGCAGGTCACTTCTAAAGAGAGCCCTCCCGACGAAGCTTGTGACGCCAGCATGCTAGCATTGTATCTATCCAAAAGTAACGCGCTATCTTTTGCTCACCGTAGACTAGGCGACGTGAATGGGGCGACTTTTTAAGCTTAAGAAGTTCTGGGTCCAAAGTCATAAGCTTGCGCGGTTATTCTTTATATAAAAAAGTCGGTCCATCTTATTTTAATGCTAAACGTAATATTTAATAATATTTAACAAAAACAAACTTAACTAAAAGGTAGTATAAATTGGTATTTATAGTTTTGGCAAGAAGGTATGCTTAAAGGGGCGCCACGTCTTAATATTTTTTGATAATTAGGAGGTGTTGCTAGTATTGCATTATAATCTAAGTGCACAATAACCTTTTCCTATAAGAAAGACGATGCTGTTATATCACCAACACGAATAAGTTTACTTCACCGTTGGAGGCTCCTATTGGGGGCAGCAAAATAACTTTCGTGTTATGAATTATTCTTGCTCCTTCTGGAAAAAGATTATTTGTTAGGAGAATTAAGGTTTATTTTAAGTCTATGCTCCTTTTATGTTTTAACGATGCCTAAAAAATTTAAAAGTACAATCCAGGGTAATTTTTGAGCATATTACTTTTATTTTACATAAAAAATTTATATGTAGACGATGTCCAGCGTTTATTACAAGAAGAAGAGGAGGATTCTCTTTTGGACAGGAAACGGAAAATTATAACCAGCAATGAAACTAATATTACTGGTTGAGTTGTCTGCTGTCTCAGATTCCATTTTTTCTTTACTCATTGTCATAAAGCTTATTATATTATACTTTTATTTCTTAATTTCTATTTTTTAGTTTTGTATACCTTAAATTTTTTTTTCCCATTGAAATAGACTTTTATAAGATATGTTAGTTTTAATTAAACTTGATTTTATTATATAACTGAAAAAAATTTTATATATTCATTTAAAGATTTTACTAATTTTGACGATTTTTGTTACCGAAAACCTACTTCTAGGAAAAAGGGTAATATTTAATATTTTAAATTATATTTTAATTAGTGTCGTTCAATTCATTATAGATAATAAGAACATGAAAGCTGATGAAGCTGACTTCACTATAAATATTGGTAATTTTTAGCTTCAAACTTTATTTAAAAGACTTAGTGCGTTTGAACTTTGCGGTAACAGTAACTAGAATTTTGTACAAGGTGAAAAGTACTCTTACACATAATTTATATTTAAAAATTAATATAAAGAAGTTAATCTGATATAATATTTTGTTTGTAATAATCGCTTTTTTGTTATACACGTGGTAGGTTAAGTAGCCATTAGTTATTTAAAAAAAAAGAATTTCAATTAAAAGTGAAGTTGTTAAATTATTTGTTAAGAAAATTTATTACCAATAAAAAAAACAAAAGTTTCCTTGTAAGTTATTATAATTAAGTTTTTGCAAATTTAGTAATAGTCCAGAGTTTTTTTTTTTCCTTATAATTTTTCAGGCTGCGAGAAAGAGACGCTGCCGTTTAATGAGGAAGGCACCAGGATTACAAGCTTTAGCATGAAAGAAGAGCTAGAGGAGGGGTTGCCTTTTTCGGCGCGCACCTTTACCAATTTCTTATACCTGTCGCGTAGATATTTTAATAAAGAAGGCGCTTATGTGTTACGAAAACAAGACGACGAAGAAGGTTTTCTTTGCGAGTTCTTTTTAAAAAAAAAAAAATTTTTTTATATCCTAAACAAAATCAGTGCTTTATTTTTTTTCAATGGAGTTTTTTTGAAAATTTTTGTTATTTTATGTTTTAAAGTTTATATTATATTCTACATTTTGTATTATCTTGAAAGGACCGGATCCCTGGTTAGCCTCGATCGACTGGAATCAGGAATCCTCTTATTATGTGAAGCAAACAGCTGTCGAAGGCATTTATATACGCTTTACGCTTTCTTAATATGATTCATTACTTTATATTCAGGCTTTCATGTGTTTATAAATTATGATAGAGCTTTTCGATGAGAGCCACGAAGAAGCTAATCTTCAGAAAGATCTCATAGAAATTACCAACTATTTGTTGGACAATGAAACGGTCTTACAGGTATAGAAGTAACATAGACCGTTATCAATAAATTTATAAAGAAAGCTGCGTGATCCCTTTTTCGCTATGCCCGACGCTTTGCTATAATAATAGGCTTTGAAAAGACTTCGCGGCCAGTCTTCTTCTAGAGAACGCCAAAAGACGAAAGTTAGTTCCACTCGAGCTTCTTTACTGCATTAAAAAAGATTGGGAGGTTTTTTTATTTGAGGGATCTTCTGGCGAAATGGAACAGTTCATGCAACTGACAGCGCTGGCCGATAAGGTCTTTGCTGCGGGCTACTACGAGATATATTCTGCAACAAAAGAGAAATGTTGCTGCAAAATAAATAATGGAGGTCCTTTTATGATAAACTCTATCAAAAGCTTATTTTCATTCGTTTTTACATGTAATATATTGGTTTTTTTATCCGCATGTACAGGTTTTTATATATTTTTTTATAACTATTCTTTATAATTTTTATAGAAACGAGTAATATCGCTGTTTCTGGTGGTGGCACTCTTACTTTTAGCTGTAACTATTTATGTAGTGCCCTTTTTTTATTTTAAATTTTTTTTACGTAAGTTATATCAATTATTTTCTAACTTGTTTCATAGCCCGTCCATTAAAGATCTTTTTATTTCGCGTGCAATTGTTTGGCTGATTGTACTTCTTCTGTTATTGTCTGGCTTATAGAAACCTTGAGAGTTGCTGTTGACTCAGTAGCTGGCTCTTGAATTTTTTATTATAGTCCTTTTTTTTTAAAACTCTTTTAAATTGTTTTCTTTATATTGATTTTCATATTTTCGAGATATACCTGTTACCGTTTCTATAAGGTTTATATTCTAAAACGTCTTAGAATACTTTTTATATAATGATACCGACTTCTTTATATTCATTACGATATCTTTACATATATAGTTGACGAAGAACAGTCAACCGGAGGACATGTTAATAATAGTAAAGTATTATGGTTTTACAAATGGCGAGCAAGCGACGCGGAAGTTTATGGCCCTTTCAGTACTTGTGCGATGAGGAACTGGCAGGAAGGTTTGGACGCAGTATCCTTGTTTGCATGGATTTCTTACACGTTTTTGTTAGGTAACTTTTTTACTTCGGAAGTCCAGGTGCGTAGAGAAGGCACCACCACCTTTTACCCTGTAGACCGAGTCGATTTTGAACTTTACTTATAATGTTTTCTCAGACTTTAAGTTTGCTTAAGTAAACTCATAAATGGTGGAAGAATAACTTTATATTTCACACGTGGCTCTTGTTCTTGAAAAAAATTTAGAGGTTAAGAATGTTTTGTCACCTCGAATTACAGCTTATTGTAGCACTATTAAATTTAATCTTCCTTTTGTTTTATTTCTCGTTATCGATCTATTTAGTTTGCTTTTGGGTGGCGTCACGGGTACTTGCATTTGGGTTACTTTTATATGGGCATCAGCAAAACAGAACTTATAAAAAATACGTTTATTTATGGAGATGCAATAAGTTACCACGATACAAGCGCTACAAGTTTTTCAACAAGGATTACTCTTCTTTTCCCGCCTATCTCTCATGTTGAAGTTTACTTCTACGAATTTCTCTTTAATTTTATCATAGCTTTACTCACTTTTAAATACACTCGCTCCCCCTTCCATTAAATATATGAGGCAGCTCCTACAAGTTTTCTTGTTTTGCCTAACAAGATGCTCTTAAATCGCTTCCGTTCTTGGTACGAGTATTTCCTTTTTGGGTGTCCCACACCCTCTGCCTGCATGAAGTACTTTTACTACTGTATTATTTGAAAGAACTACTTCGAATCTATTTGGGTTTTTGTCCTCTATTATGCATAATAAAACTTTGAGGAGCAGAGAGTTCGGGTCTGCTTATTTTTATTAATTTTCCTTATTAGATAATGATACCAGTTCTTTGTAGTTTTTATTTTTTCGTATAATTAAAATATTTTTAAAAATGTGTTATCCTTGTTATTATGTAAAACCTTTTTAACTTATTTAAGTTTTTTCCAAAAGTCATGAGGTTGATTGAAGTAGCGTTTTGCCACTTTAACAGCGAGTGCATCCATCTTTGAGTGTAAAAAATCCTGTATTACCTTTCTGAGCCTATAAATCGGCTGGTTTTTGTTTTGTTATTAAGTTGAGTCGCTATAATATTGGAGAGCTGCTTTAAGAACCGTCTGACTAGTAAATTAACTTCTTCCCCGACCATATTTTGAACACCCATAATATATTAATTGGTTTCACTTTTCTTTTTATAATACTTCTTAGGACTGAGAAAGTTACAAGCTCCTTCATCGTATTATTGCTGCCAACTTATGTTTTGCAAAAGCGTTTTTTAAATGAACAATTTATTGAAAGAACGAATTATAGTATTAATAACTGTTAAACATAAGTTATGCTCGCTCTTCTCCACTTTTTTACGCCTGTGACTTTACGTTGAACAGCGCTCTTTTACTGACTGGTTATTGTTGTTATCCTTGCAGTGTAATCCTGGTTCGTTAGCAATAGAATTCATGGGAAGCTGTTAAGACTTCCTTTAGCTTTCTAGTCTATTAAACTTCGTGGTTTTACATTCGAATGGAGCACCTTGAAGCTTATAAAGTTTTACTTGAGTTAATTTTGCTCCCTCTGCCCGTGGCGCCTTAGCTAATATGTTTTATAAAAGGAAATTGAATTAACGAATTGTTTTAGACTAGAGCACAGATTAGGTTGAGTGTACTTGTTTAAACACATACAAACTAACTTGAGGCGAATGCCTTTAAGGTATAAAGTAAACCTTATTGCATGCTTACAAGGTAAAGTAGAACCTGACTTATAATTTAGAACAGTATTTTCACCCAAATTTATATAGAATAGAACATGAATGGTGGTTATAAACTTGGTTGAAAATGGTAACTAGCATTTAGTAATTGTCTCCATAAAAGTGGAGCTCCATGCTAGAAGGAAGATTATAAGAGGCTGTCCTGGTAAGACAAAACCCTCTCCCCTTCCTTGTAAACACCAAATCTACTTAATAAAAACGGCGTTTAGTGACAAGCAACGGGGAACTCAACTGATGTTTTTATGCAAGCTTAGAAGTAAATCTATACACCTCCTCTGATACTCCAGAAAGTCATGAAGTTCGAACGACTACTTGTAAAGGGAAATTTAAACGTGAAAAATAAGGAACAATTGGTTTGTTAGGGCTATAAACTAACAATAGCTTGACGTGAGAAAGGGGTCGTGAGTACTGCGTGCACAAAGAATTACACGATAAAAAAATATATGTCACGTTATTACTGAATTTATATATATGCAAAAATAGCCTTGAGATTATAAAATCCTAAGAACTCTGTAGAGTGCTAGTCAAACTGATTATGGAAAACAAACGACACTGTGTTCCCGCAAGATTTCCTTAGAATTATATCGTCTAACTTGGCAAAGTTGCTGTAGTGATTCCATTTTGACATGTCAAACTGATCTTCAGAGTCTTCCGCCCTCTGGTGAGTCAACAAATTATGATAACTAACAGATATATTAACAAACGATCACTTTAGCGGCTGCAAGTGAAATTGCAACACCAGAAACGCATCTCTTACAGTTAAACTTTTCGTGGGTGTCTATGTAGTCACCCGTTACACACGCATGAGAAGTAACCTGCGTGTTAAAAACCTGACAATGTCTGCACGTTCAGCCTGAATAGATCTCTCAAACTCTCTGCAGAAAAGTATCTCTCCACGTCCTCTCCTTCATCTACTACGCACGTGCTTAGAGCCTTGAGAGGCACGATAATGAGCTTTACTACAGGCGTGACCCCCCAAAACAGAGGCAAACTTGTTTGTGCGATTGCCGCTGGAAGATTTTTTCTTCAATAGTCCCTGTGGATACCATGCGGTATATATAGCACTTCTTCTTCTGTCCATCCCGCCAGACGCGCGCCTCGTGTGCACAGGGGTTTCACAAACACTGAGGGGCATACTCGATAACGAAGTACCATTGCCTGTAAGTCGGTGGCGGGGTTCCAGTCGGGGTCAAACAACACAATCCTACTCAAAAGTCGTTTGCTTTTCAGCAATGAAATTGAAGATGCTAGTAGATACCGGTTCGCTCCAACTAAATTGAGGCCGCATCCGCCTGCTTTGCTGCTTAGCAGGAAAATAAATTCAGGACGCTGCGGATCGTTGAAAAAGTCAACGAGTTTCTGTCGTTTCGGAATACTTTTTATATCGTTATAAATATGATTAAACATAAAAGACTTTTAATTAACAGGAGAAACCTCAACGAGCCGTCGAGCCTCACAAATTTATACTGCCTTGCCTTGCACATGAGTTCAAAGAGATCCAGTGTTTGTGTGTAGTTCGAGACAAGCACAACTTTGTCGCTGGTGGTGGTGCGAATAAGAGCGAGCATCTTGTCTAGGACCTGCCATTTCAATAAAGGATTACACGCGGGCTAGTAACCAGTAAACAATAGAAGAAATATATTACTTTCATTAATTATTACTTCTATTGTTGCAATTTAAAAAAAAAGCTCTAACAACAGTTACAAAATGACGGAACCTGCAGTTTTCCGGAAAATTCTGGTTGGAAGCGGTCTGCTGCAAAGCTCTTGTGGAGAAATTCTCTCGTATTTTCAAAGGCGCCTTTTTTCTCGTTAAGTTTTTTATAAATTAAAACGGGATCTAATTGTGTATATCTTCAGTGCGGCCAACAAACTCAGTAAGAAAAGGCAGTGCTACGGTTGCAAAGTTTTTTCAAGTCAAGAATATGCGTGAGCGTCGAGCCTCCTTTGAAAGAATCTTTAAGAAGATGAAGAATGTCTTTGGACTTTAAAAACTGCTGATAGATCCTTTCTTGCATTTCAGTGAGTCTGCAAAAGACGACCTGGATCACTAGAATACCAAAAACAATTATTATTAGATAACAACTTTATTGTAGTATAACCTTTGCTGGGCAAATACTTTTTATTGATAGCGGCTATAAATTATTTTTAAGCGCGAAAGTGTGAATTATGGCATATAGAGAATCATACACGTCCTCCTGATGATAAATCTATTAGCAAGAGCAGCAAGCTGAACCAGCATTACTTATTAATATCTATATTTTGAAAGTAGTTACGTCATTAAGTTTTTCTTGTCCGAATAACTTCTCCTCCTCAGTGGCTAGCGAGTCTCGACCCCTTTCTATAACGTTCGCGAAGTTCTTACGAAACTCGTTAGGAGTACCTCAAAAGATAATTAATGAAGGAAGAACATTTACAAAGACGTCAATTACCAAGAAGAGAGGGGTTGACGAAGTTAAGAAGACTGTAGTACTCAGTGAGGTCATTCTGAATAGGAGTCCCCGAAACAATGATTCTTCTCTTCGTTTGAAGAGCATCCAGGGCTTGGTAGGTCTGGTTTTGCATGTTCTTCAAGCGGTGGCCCTCGTCGCAGATGATAAGCCCAAGCGGCCGCGAGGCCAGTACACTGCCATGAGTCCGAAGGGTTTCATAGGAAATGACTAGCAGCGAGTAAAGCCTTCTTCGTCCTGAACCCGGGCCATGTGGGAACGGCGGAGATAACAAACCAGCTCGCATCAAAGAGTTACCAGACTGACTAACAAAAGTTTGTAGTTTTGAAGCGATTTGAGCTTTGGAGCCCCCGTCGACGGTCAGACATGAGACTCTGAGTCCCAGCCACTTCTGAAACTCGTTAGCCCAGTTCTGCATACTCTCAGAAGTCCATTTGGTCGCAAAGAGCAGCCGGCCTGGCGGCTTACCTTGACAAGACTGGCAGGAGAGGCAATCACACAGCTCTCAATGGTCGGCTTCCCTGAGATCCATAAGCATTTAGACCGGAACAGAAAGTAACGAAAATAAAAGGAAAACCTTCGGGTCCCTGCTTTAGAAGCGTGTACACAAGAGACACGCACTGAAGGGTTTTCCCAAGACCCTGCGGGAAGTAAAGTTAGTGGACTTCGAACAGGCACAATTTTATAGATTAGTAAAAACAAATGATAGAGGAAGAAAATATGCTATTCTAGTACTGTAATAGCTAGGAAAATAGATTTCGAAACCATGTCATCGGCCATGATACAGCCAGTAGTAGACGCTTCTCTTAACCCAGTAATGCACTCGTACATAAACTTAACGCCCTCCCGTTGATGGGGTCGCAGCACGTTCGAGAGTAGTGGATCAACAACAACTAGGAAAATTAAAAAGTATGGTTCTTATATTTGTCATAATAATAATATAGAAGTACCGTGAACAAGAAGGCTGAAGCGTTGAAGCAAAAAATTGCAACGTAACTTTTTTAAAGCAAGAAAGATAATTAAAAAAGACTTACGGATCGTTAGACGGCTGTAGTTGCGGGGGTGGCTCGTACAAAACTAACGCGTTTTCGCCATTAGGATCATGGAGGGGCCGCCGAATCTGAAATTATGCATTAAGGCTCCTAATATTAGGTGTTTTGTACTCAGTTATTTTACCAGAGGTTTGCGAATACCTAAACAAGTTCTCTTTCCCTCTTGGAAGAAGTTATAGTAGAAAAGTTTTAACTTTAAAGAAAAAAAAATTACCTTGATAGTTCGCAATGGGGACCTTAAAAGGGCGTGCAAGCACAGTTCTTATGAACAGTTCCTAGTAATAATAATAAAAAGAGGTATATCGATTTATCCACCGACTTATTATTGCTATGAAAAAAGAATAGATATATTTCTTAATTTCTTAAACAAAATTCAATGGAATATCATACTTTAAATCTAAACTAGAACGCATATGATACGAGCAAGCTTCATATATTTACGTGCTCAGTCCACTTTGGGCTAGTAGGAGTTTGAACATTTTCCAACTCTATGTCCAAATCAGCTGTCGGTGAACTTTCCTGTTCTTTATAGTGAAGAGTGATATTTTTACTGCTCAAAAAAAAACATTTATAAAAGCTTTAAGGGAATGTGTATAAAATAGATGCCATGTTTCGAGACTAAGAGCACTCGCTTTAATTCCTCTTTGACTTGGTGCAGAACTCCTTCTCATTCATTCATGTACGGCAAAAAAAAAGTTAGCAGAGATAATTTATTAGAAGGAACACGCAGCTCTCCAAACCGCCCTCTTGGTGCCTTTGTGGGAGGAGGTCTTATCGGTTTCTAACGCTCGAACCTCTTCACTTTAGTGTTGCGTCTTCGTATAAGTCTTGTTAGTAGATCCTCTCCGAGTAGAAAATGTTACAACACAAATGGTTATGACGACACACTCGATGGATTCGGCTCACGTAGAAAACGTTTACTTTCTTTACCCAATTTACTGCATTTTGCTGAGTATATCTTTACTGGTTTTACCTTCATGCTATTTCCAGTACAAGGCCCTAATACGGATAGAATGTGTGTACTTAGAGCTTTTTGATTCACTTGCTCCACTTGCTGCCACTATTACATGGTGGGGCCATAGAACAAGCCCACTTATAGAGTATAGATCTAGCTTAAGTTTATTAATGTTGACAATGACTCTTTGCTTTTTTTTCAGGATTAAAGATGACGCTAACTCAAGAGAAATTTTTTGCGTGACTTATGGAGTTAGAATTAAGTCAAAACGTTTCAAAAGATACTTGATTGGTGACTATGAATTAATCCTTAAAAAAAGTCTTCGAGAATACTTTTTATAAAAGTTGATATTTCTAATTATAGATCAAGGAGAATCGTCTGAAGGGCTTGTTATATCGCTATACGACTCCAAAGGGCTATTTGGAGTCGCCAAAATATTTCTGTTGGAAGATTTAGTTTTAAAAAAGAAAATAAAGAAAGGTATCCTATATTATTTTGTAAAAAAGGTACATAAATATTATTATTAAATAAGCACCTTATACTTAAAAGACTTATTTAACATAAAAATAAATATTTGTTATAAATATTGAAATACATCGTCTGCGTAAGGTGCATTTATAGAAAACTGCAGAAATACTCTTCCCGGCCGCACTGGAGTTATTAAAATGTTGTTTATTTTCGAGGGTACTAGAATTTTTTATATATTTACCATCTTCTCACTCCCATAAATTCTCTTTCAGAATTTAATGTAGACGAGCTTTTAGTGAACTCGAACAGCGCATCTGTTCTAGACGGAAATAATCCGAATGTTATAGAATTCTTAAAAGTTTTAAAACCTTCCCTAATCAGGTTTTATACTTTTACAGTTAAATTACCGATTACAAGAATCTTTCTTATAATTTCTACTCAACCTCAAGCGTTCCGAAGTTGCAAGATTACAGCGCCTCAAGCAAAGTCCAACAGTGTACTATTAACTGTACTTATTTTTTAGTCTTCGACCCCTTGCAAATGCAAATTTTACACCTTTAAATTATTTTTAGGTTTATAGTATTAAATAGTTGTAATGTAATTTTTTATATTTTTTATAAAGCTTTTCTGCATCCCGTCTCTCGCCGCTCTAAAAAAAGATGCGCCGCATTTTCGCGCAGTGGAAGCCACGTACGATCCACTCGGCCTTTATCTGGCCACAAGAAAAAGTCAACATTCTGCGATCCTGGCCTCTATGCCGTCGAATCGGATTCATTGCTTGAAAGTTACTTGAGCGATCCGCACTTTGTGAGCCGCCTGTGCGTTTGCGACTCGCCAACTGCGTCTCCTCCATCTCCTTTTTACCCTGAGCTTGAATTGAGCTCTGCGCCCCTGTTCGACCAACCGTCTTCGGTGATATTTCTGACTTTTCTCGCCTTTTATATCTTGCAGACAGGCTCCGTGCTACACTTGCTGTAGCTGCTAAAGAAATCTTTAGCAAAGTTGACTATTAACATACTTTATACTCCACAGCCTGGCATCCTGAATCTCGAATTAAGAAAACCCACTATACTAAATGCTCAAGATCTACCAGAAAATCTACTGGTTGTATGGGTTAACTGCCATCTCTTTGACGCAGAAGTCAAAGTACATAATTTATACTGAACTTCAGCAATATTGTAGCTACATACATGTAAAACATGTTGCGCTTACTATACTCTATTAAATAGTCGTCGCAGCAAATTAAGTGGCCCTGGGATACCAAACTTCCTTTTTCGGGTTTTCACAAGTTCTCTTTGAACCAATACTTTATAAAGGGCTGCAAAGAAAAAAAAATCTATCTACAATTCTTGATACCTTCCAGCGCCTCTCAACCAGGCAAGTATTTTGGTATGTAAACTATGAGCAAGGCATAAGCCCGTCTGGCTCTACCGGGCGCCTCTGACAGCCTCAGTAGCGCTTGGCGGAGTAGTTATTTTCAAGCCGCTTAAAGACAAAACCGTCTCACAGACGTCTCTATGCTGCAGCCACTCTAGCTAAACCATTTACCATTTGGATTTTTTTCTATAATAATTTTTTTATATCTCCTATTTTTGTTATAATTCGGTAGAAGTGGAATTGTTTGGACTGCTTTTTATAAGCATTTCTCGATATGCCGATAATGTGAATGCATTTCAAGGTATATAAATTACTTCATTTGGCAATACGAAGTTTTTTATAAATTCCAAATTATTAGGGATCGATCCTCCACTACAAGTAAATTTTGAGTACCTAACAGTTTTTAACCCGAAGCACGAGAAAATCCTTTATTTGAATGCGAGAGTCACACTTGGTAGATCCTGTATGTAATCAGCTCTACTACAGCGCACTGACGTACTGCACAAAAGGCAAGCACGAGTCGATGGAGAAGCTCTACTTGCTAAGTCTGCATTCTTCCACGGTCCTTCAAAGTTCGGAGCCAACTATCTTCTCGCTCACGACTGCTGAGCCCTCCTCCACGCAGGCCGAGGGTTTGGTTGGTGGGAAGAGCGTTTCTTCTCCGCGTCTACCAGGTACGTATCATTGGCTTATCTAACGCGCTATTGTAGGACCTTGTTATAATTGTAAACATTACAGATACTCACCGATTTACAATCCGTGTAACGGCCGTTACTGGCTTGATCCCTGCAGATAACACTGCCGTCAACTACTCAAGGTTGAGGAAGTCTGAATTTTGCATCAAATATAAGTTTCCCGCCAGCGACCAGCAGGCAGTTTATTGTACTCTAAACCTCGTAATTCTCCTCGTGCTCGCATGATGTTCACCCTTCTCGTAGCCACTGCTTTTTTGCCTTACTCCAGCAACCTCGGCTTTGACTACGAAGCATGCCACCGGCTTGCTTTCATGTCGAAAGAATTATCAGATAACTACGACTTTGACCGCCTTCTGGCCATGAATGTCTGTCCAAGTTCTCCCGAGTTAGTTGAATTATTTTTTTTAACTGCACTTTTTCAACTTTTTTTCCTAAAATAAAGAGGTGTTCGCTTTGAACTTTTTCAGCGACTTTGCAATGAGGCAAACGATGCACAGACCGTTGGCTCGGCTACCTTGACTATAAAAGAAATACGTGACTTGTTTACTTTGTGTACGTTTTTTTTCGTATTTAGCAATTTGTTTTGTGTATAATAGTTGCGTGGCATTATTTCAGCCTCTCCTCGTAAATACACATTACCTGTGCGTTCAGCGCACTTCCCTAAAGCAACACTCAAGTTGATGGCCGGCTACAGCAGTAGCACACCACCTATAGTTAATAAAGCAAAGAAAGGACTCCCTCGAAAGGTCTCGCCAGATAGCATGTTTACGCTCGAGCTTTTTATCAGTCACATTTCCAGCTTGAGTGTAGGAGTTACGCTTGTTAGTTTCGAACCACTGTAACGAACCTTTCGGTATATATTAAGGAGCCATCTGCCGACTGCCAGTATGTTCTGGATATTGTGCTTTCCCCCCGCCAGAGAATACGGCTTCCGTTTGTTATTTGTAGTTGATTAGTCATTTCTTATTAATATAAATAAGCTTTATCCTTTAAAAGTTTCTGACCCGAGCGCCGAGGAGTTGACTGTTCGCCACAGGGGCTCATATTCGATTGGTACAAAGAGAACTTCTGGATCTCTTCGTTTATGTCTATGGTGGGCTTTCCGCGTCTCCTACTAGCTGTCTGACCTTTATCTTTGCGTTGTCAAGTCAGCGAAAACAGCCAGTAACAGACTTTTCTTCTAATGCGGCCTCGACAATGGACGAGCGGGTCAGCGGTGGAGGTGGCCGGCACTTAGTGGGGCTGTGTTGCATACTGTGGAGGGAGATCTTCTGTGGGAGAGGGAAAGGTAAACGCGTGTACTGCGGTCTTGGCATCCAGCTTAGACAGGAACATTCTTTAATCAGGCGATCTGCACTTCAGAAATTTGTACAAGAACAAAAAAGTAGTGGGGCAGATATGGCTCTCTTTTGCTTTAAATAACAGCACCATAGAAGAAAAAGGTTATTCAACTCAATTTGGGCTGCTCTGCGCCCCTCTTTTTTTATTTGGTAATAAATTACCTAAAAACTGATGAATTTTAGGTGTCATCTCTTCAGGTTAACAAAAACGTCCATCATTTTTATTCGAAATACGTTAATATTACATACCACCTCAGGAAACTTGTATGTTATAGTCGAACGGGCGGCTCAGCTTGGTCCCATATCATCTCCTGTCTCATTGAGGTCCCCTGGTAGAAAGCGTTATAATACCGTGTTATAACGTGCGTTTCCTACGAAGGCTTCGCAAGTTGTATGTCATAATTCGTGACGCTGACGATAAAGAGAAAATTGTACTGAGGACATGTCCTGTCAACTATTGCGAGTCGCCCCGCTGGAATCACACCCAGTGCCTTTCTTACCCCCCAAACAAAAAAGTTACTTGTTTGCTCTCTATTATCGCTCCTTCGTATTGTGTTTAGCGAAGATTAGATTCTGCACTTAGAGGTTTGGTCTGGGCACGGCGCGTGGGCCGTGCAGGGCGATGTTAAAATAGGGACGGTCTCAGTGGACATCGCCCCTATAGACAATGGTTTCTTCAATAAGTAACACCAAACAATTATAACATTAACTTCGCTTCCCTATTTTATATATAAGCTTTTACTTTTATTAATATTCAAGGGCTGGCCGAAGTTTGTGGTTGGTACCAAATACGAGGCAAAAACGACGGATTTGTTGGGCAGCTGAAAGTGAGGGTTTGTCCAGTGCGGCAAACAGTCCCTAAGCTGCACGCCAGTCACGCTTGCCGAAATAAGCTCACAACGACTACGGAGAAAGAGATGCTCAGCTCGTCAGTTTTGAATTCTTCTTGTCTAGAAAGCGATCCCGTGGAAAACTACAACAAGTTTTTGGAATCGCTGAGACGGCTAAGCGAATTAAAATTTCCGTGCCTCGCACCGTCAGAAGCTGCCTCCGAACAAAACAGCACAGAAACCTCGTTAAACGATTCTGAAAAAGCGAAATGCACGTCCTCCATGCATGCAAGAAAACTTCTTCCAGATCTTGAGAATTATGATAAGGGTTTAGAACTACTTCCCCCGCCGCTGCCCAGTTCCACCAGCGATGAAAATTATAACGTAACAGTTTAGAAGCTACTTAAAATGTGTTACTATTTTGGTCATGTGCTCCACAGGCAAAACATAAACTTATATTTCAAATAACAAAAAGCGTACTGTTTTATTTGCTCTGGCGATTCACTAATTGCTTTTTACTATAAGTTTGTATATTTTTTAAAGTTTTGTCGAGAAGTCAGTTGTGGGGATTGAGCGAAAGTTAGGCTTAGTTGCTACATAAAACAGTTGGATAATTCATGATCCCGTTTCGTAAAGTAGAGAAAATGCATTATTTAATGTTTTGCATATTGAGGTCAAAAAATTATAGCGCTTTCATCTTTAGTGTAGTAACGTTTTAATTAAAAATAAGCAAATTTTTTTTTAGCTATTGGTAGTATGGTTTATTCTATGTGACTTTGTGCTTTTCCACAGCATTGCTGGCTTAAGTAGGTAAAGCCTATACTATAAGGTAGTACATACACTATGTATAAACCATGCTTTTTGCTCAATATAGTCAGTAAAGCAATTGCTTTGTTGCTTTGACTTCCACTGTTAACGTAAGCGTTGTGTTGTCTTCGCGATAGTTGTCTGTGGCGGCCTTTAAGAATTTTTTTGAAATTCTATGGGACCTTAACGCCCTCAAGGCAGAGGAAACGCAGAGCACCACCCCTTTTTATCTACTTTTAATAGTAAGTCCCCTCTCTTTTTCATTTACTCATTAATAGTAGTTTCTGGTGTTCGATCGGATCAATTGATACCGAGCCCTCAAAACTCTCGAAGAAGTTAATAGCATAAATAAATTTCCTCCTGACTATTGTAGTTAATTTCTTATCGTCGTATTTTTTTTGCCCTTCAGTCTACCCTACACAAGTTATAAAAAACTTATAGTTCATAACGTGGACCACGATAGCGTGAATCGACCCATAACCTGTAGTTGAACTCTTTTGCCAACAGTCGATTGATGTGTTTTCATTAATAGCTGGAGTCGTATTACGTTAAAAACGGAATGCACCTGTTCTATCTAGAGAGCTTTTCGTTTCTCACAAACCAAAATTGGTCGTCGTGACGAGCAGTATCTTGTTTAGTAACACGTATTGTTCTTATAGTGTGCGTTAAGAGAGAACAAGAGTTTAGCGGAGCTATCTAACAACAAAGTTTGCCGAGAAATCTATAAGGGACCTCTTCAACACATTTGCTGACAAAAAGTCAAGCACAAGCCGAAACTCGCGTTTTCATTTAAAAGAGATTAACGTACTTGCTGGTTGGTTATATTTGCTTTCTGATAAATTATTAGAAGGAACAATATCCGTACCCGAAGATTTGAACAAAACACCATTTCCGAAATCAGATCCTTTATGTGTGTAATTCCGACTGAGTATTAGTGTAAGGAACCGGAGAAATATCACTCATACCTAGTTTGAGAGAGTTGCTACAATTCAGTCTTATAACTTCGTGCTTAAAAAAGGATAATAGGAACAAAACCTGATTGCAGTTCTGAATGTACTACAGAACAAAAAAACACGGTTAAGCGCAAATATAAATAATATACTATAATAGTTGTGTGGACTACATGCGGGAGACGACCAAAGTTTGATTATCACCTCCAATAACTTATACACCGGTAAGTGATAATCATAAAAATCTGTAATGCTAGGTCAAAGACCACTAATGAAAGAAAATAATAATTAATCTAACAACCAAAAAAATTAAAGAAATTTTTTTGTCCATCTCGTTTTCCTCTCCTTTTTGGTTTTAATACGTTGCGCATAACACCTTAGTTAATAAATGGTAATATATCTTTTAAAATGACGTGTAATGTTTCCTTGATAAGAATTTTTAAGAGTAATTAACAATATATGCTGCCAAATTTATTTGTTTTATGGTGGAATTTTTTTTACTCAAATTATGCAGCGTTAACATGGCGTAACCTTTCTAGTAAGAATATTCCCTTTTAAAAATAATAGCGATGGCTTTATTGCCAGTTTAGATTTTAACTCAAATTAGGTATACATGGGGTTAGCTCCTTAAAGAGGGCCTTTAGAAAACGGTGTTAATATTCAGCCTTACAAAAAGATTTATTATTGGAGCTTAAGTTAGTTTTAACTTCTCTTTTGGGTACGCTAGCAATTATAGCATCCCCAGGAAAAATCACAGTAGCTTTTAGTGAAAACAAAATCTCAGTAAAATTATCTTGCTGTTTTTGTTTCAGAATTATTTTTGTGGCTACCTATATCTCTAGTCCAAACTTACAAAATAATTGTAGAATAGTCATTCTAAAGATATTTTCTTACATACTAATTCATCTCTACAAGTTATCTGATAATGCGGTCTGTTAGCCCCGTAATTGTAGTGTTTTTAGATTCGTCGGGAGCTACGACCAAGTCCATCTGTCGCTTTAAAATAGTACAAATTTCTTAAAATTTCAGGGTAAATGTATTTTTAAAGTTACTCTCTAATGTAAATTTCTAACGGTTTCATGATTTTTTCTTAACCTAATTATATAATGTTCGTAAATTTTATTTTCATGTTTTCATAATTCCGCTTATTATGTTAAACCCTGAGAAAGATTATTGTAAATTTTTTGGTAAAAATTTTATGTATAACATAGTTCATGCATTCCTCAACATTGTAGGTAAGTTTACAATTAATTAGATTTAGTAATTAGTATGGTTCTCGTTGATGTACATCATTTCCAGTTATCACCATCATGTTTAATTTATTATAATTGTCCTTTTTTCGGTTAAAACTTAGTTCGTGCTTACAAATTAACAAGAATTTTAATTAGCCTTTATAGTAGTTAATTTGGTTCTTGCAGTATATTATTTTCAAATTATTAGTATCATATTAACCTGTTTACTATCATTTCTCTTTTTTTTATTTAACAAATATTTCTAATTATAAAGTAACAAAAATATTATAAAAATATGAATGTAATAAAGAAAGGTAAAAACAAATAAATTCTAAGCTAAGAAGAGAAGTTTTAGTTAGGTTGCCCTCCCCCCAGGATTAACCACCACTACTTAAACTTGACTTAATATTTAAGTCCCTCCTACTAGAAGTTACATGTCGCTTTCCATTGCTCCTTTTTTTTTCTTGGGCCGCCACTACCGCCTTTTGTTTGTGGCAGGTTATGCTTTCCGTCACTTTATTACTCAATATCTATTTTTAAACTCTTTCTATTCCAGTGATACATTTTTAAGCTATTTATTTAAGTTTTTAACCTTCCTAAAGTTAGTTCTTTGATGCTGCATAAACTCATAAAGCGACTTTATATTTTACTCTGTTACACTTTTATTATTTTTTATAGATGTGGTCTCGATTTATACGCCACTCAAAATTAGTTAGCTTTTTTTCTTGTCTGCCAAAAAAAAATGTTATCCGCTCTACTCGTAATTTAATTTATGTTGTTTACTTGCCCCCTTTTTTTATTTTGTTGCTTACTTTTAGCATTAAAAGCCGTCCATCGTTGTTACGCCGTCAGTAGCAACGATAAAAAGGAGCGAGGTCGCATAGTATCTGTTATAGGCGCAGTCGTTGATGTACGCTTCGACGGGGATATCCCGCCCATTCTAACTGCCCTCGATGTTGAAAAATCAGGAGATCGTTTAGTACTTGAGGTAGCGGCTCATTTGGGGTATTATGCAAAAATTATCTTTATTGTATAGTTTTTGTTATAATTTTTTTGTATTTGATAATTTAAATATTGTAGAGAAAATACTGTGCGTACTATTGCCATGGACGGCACTGAAGGGTTGGTAAGAGGGCAGACCGTGGTAAATACGGGCGCGCCTATTAAAATACCCGTAGGAGACTGCACTTTAGGTCGTATTATGAACGTTATTGGAGAACCGATTGACGAGCGCGGAGCTATCAACGCCAAAAAATATCTCCCCATCCACAACGTGGCTCCCGGCTTTACAGAGCAGTCAACCGAGCAAGAAATATTAGTTACCGCTATCAAAGTTGTCGACCTGCTCGCTCCCTACGCTAAAGGTGGAAAGATTGGTCTTTTTGGCGGTGCGGGTGTTGGGAAAACTGTACTTATCATGGAGCTTATCAACAATATTGCTAAGCAACATGGTGGGTACTCAGTCTTTGCAGGTGTCGGCGAGCGGACCCGAGAGGGGAACGATCTCTACAGGGAAATGATTGAGGGAGGTGTTATTAAGCTAGATGGGCCAGGTTCTAAAGTAGCCCTTGTGTATGGCCAGATGAATGAACCCCCCGGCGCCCGCTCTCGAGTTGCATTGACAGGGCTTACTATTGCTGAGTACTTTCGAGATTACGAAGGGCAGGACGTATTGCTTTTTATCGATAACATCTTCCGCTTCACCCAAGCTGGCTCGGAAGTATCAGCGCTGCTGGGTCGTATTCCTTCTGCAGTAGGCTATCAGCCTACTCTTGCTACTGACATGGGTGCCATGCAGGAGAGGATTACTTCAACTAAAAAGGGGTCTATTACCTCCGTTCAGGCTGTGTACGTACCGGCTGATGACTTGACTGACCCTGCACCTGCTACCACCTTTGCTCATTTGGACGCAACCACCGTTCTTTCCCGCTCCCAGGCTGAATTGGGTATATATCCTGCAGTTGATCCACTCGACTCAACCTCCCGCATTTTGGACCCACGCGTGGTTGGACAGGAACATTATGACACCGCGCGGAAGGTGCAAGAGTTGCTACAGAGCTACAAGTCGCTTCAGGATATTATCGCCATTCTGGGCATGGATGAGCTGAGTGAGGAAGATAAACTTACCGTCGCTCGAGCCCGCAAGGCCCAACGTTTCCTTTCTCAACCGTTTACGGTCGCCGAGGTTTTCACAGGTCAGCCAGGCCGTCAAGTAGAATTGGCGGATACCATTAAAGGCTTCAAAGCTATTCTTTCGGGTGAATACGACCACTTCCCGGAAAATGCCTTCTATATGATCGGGGGAATTGGCGAAGCCGTAACCAAAGTAATTATATGTGTGGTATGCTAAGTTATTTGTAACTTTTATTTTGCCAGGCGGAAAAGATGGCTCAGGAATCAAAATAATAATGTTACCATAAATAAAAAATTAAGTTATCAAAGAATCCTGCTTGTTTTTTTCAAGTTTTTAGTAGGGTTATTAAGTTTAAAAGTTTCTAAAACATGAACTAGTTGTTATAATTTTTTATAACTTTCGTGTAATAAAAAAGAATTTATTGAAAGAAAGTGGGTGAAGTAGGTGTAAAGGGGCAAGCAGAGCTACTCGAGGCAAAAGTTAATGTTTAAAACTTGTTAAACAGTTGTGTATAGAGTCAACCTGAGTTAACTTCTCGGAAAAATCTCCTTTTAAAATTAATTTGAAATTTCCTTTAAGCAGGTACTGCTTTTGACATAACATTTATTACAAGATAAGCAGTGTTGCTCACCGTACTTGATAATAGAGCACTATTTATTTTACCTTGAATAAGCCTTAAAGTTAAAAAAGAGCTGCACTACAAGCATAATTAATTGGGAGCTAATGACTATATTAAAAAAATAGAACAGAGATTATTCTTTAATACCCAGTGTTCAAGTTTCAAAATAGTTATTTACAAGTTATTGCTGGTATTCTTAATTGCTTATACCCTTTTTACCTATACTAGCTGTCATACATTATATTTAGGTAAAAACGCTTAAAAACCGGGAAAAAATACAATAATTAGTTTAAAGCCATCTCTTATTCAGGGAACGCTTAAATCAGTAAAAGATATATTCAAGCAAAAAGTAAACTCAGTATAATGATTCATATGTAAAACAGAATTGTTTAATGATAAGTTGCAAACTATTGCCCGGCTGGCCTAGTATTAATCATTAATAAAGCCTATTTTATTTTAATTAGAATGGTCCTTATCGACATGCCAGTGAGTAAACTGCAACTACTTTCCTTTTCTTTTTCCTGCTCGTATTTTTTTGTTGGGAATATACAGAGCCTTGGAGGTGAAACGCTATTTTTGGACTGTTTGCTTTTATTTCGACAGGACAATGTTACTCTCTCAAAATTTATAGCATCGAAGTAGATGAAAATTAGTTTACTTTATGATTTCTTTATGATTTCTTTTATATATTTATCTGTAGTGTTAATGATCAAATTACTTTTTTTAACCTTATTACTATGTTTTTGCAGTTTCAATTTAAACCGAAATACTTGGGAGGTAATTTTTTAAGTGTTCAAAGAACGCAAGCATACTAAGTACAAAACTTGTTTATTAGAATCTGGAGTGAAATAGCGCGTGTATAGCCTAAAAGCTGTATTTAAGGTCTAATATTCTCTTTGTATGGCAAAGCACCCATAAGAAATGGATAATTATTTTATATAAAAAAGAAAAATAATAAATAGTAAAATATATTTCTTACGAATAAAAAGATACGTCTCATTTTTTGAGAGGACACTGTATTAATGAAGCGGAGGCAAGAGACCGGTATTTTGTTAGTCTAAAGCATCACAAATAGTTCACTTTCCACCTAGTATATCTATGATAACGCAAAATAGGGATAAAAACAATTGTATTAACTCTTGAAAAACTTTTAAACGACACATTAACAGAAAACGAAGAATTTATTTAGACTTGTTTTAGCCTCTAACGGTTTTCTTAAGTTATTTACTGTTTCCTATCTTCTTTAACTGGAAGCAGTACGCCAAAAGAGGACGCCCACCTTGAGTGTATTAATTCGTTATTAGGCCATCGAATTTTAATGTAGTCTGTGCTAAGATTTGAAAGCTCACAAACTTTTAAGCATTCTCATATATGTAATGGCTCCACAATAATAGGTTATATTAAAAACTGTAATGAGGATCTAGCAATGTAGCGGGAAATAGCATTAATGGCGGACGGACTATTAAACTGCACCTGGCGTTTTTTTTAAAAGGTTTGGGCCTTTTTCTAGATGGGCGTAGCCGAGTCTAAATGTAGTTTATACGGGTATCAAGTCCTTCAGGTTTAGTATATTTTGAATTTAAGGTTTATAGCTATAATAAAAAACTAATTATTAGGTTAAAGTGGGATCGCCTGCTGAAATAGCTGGTTTAGAGCCTTTTTTCGATTTTATTACTTCAGTAAACCGGAAGGAGCTAGTACTCATATTTCATTGTGAACTATTACAAATATGTGTCTTCCGTCTTACAGAAAGAGAGCGACACCTACCTTTTAAGCCAAGCAGAGGAAAATGTTGGACAGGCAATAGAGCTTATTGTTTACAATTATAGAACAAAATCTTTACGGTTTACCTTATTCAGTTTTGTGTGAACCTTTACCCATTTATTTATTTTATTTCAAATACTTTTTAAGTTTTTTCTCTCTTAAACAACTTCATAGTTAAGAGTTTTAGCCAATTAAGGCTTTATTCAGTGGCATTGAGCTGACTAATAAATATATATTTATTTTACACACTTGCCGATGTCGATGTCGCTTATTTATGAAAGTTTTATCTATCACAATTGCTTTTACTTAGAAGTTATGAATATAATGGGTTTTGTTAATTATCTTTTATAGGCCTGTGAGTATTGTTCCTTCGTGTGTATGGGGTGGTGAAGGCTTGCTAGGTTCTTTTGTTCTATAAGTTTGCTTGTATATTTCAAATTAAAAAACTTTAATCTTAAAATAGTAAATAAAAAGAGTTTCATAAATCTCTTACTCCCGTACTTTCTCCTCTAATACAAAATCAATTAACTTTAGGAACGGTTGTTAGGTTTTGCTGGATAGATTCCGCTTCTCGAAATGTTTGGCGTGTTTTGGTTTGTTTCTCTTAAAAATATATAGTGAGACTGTGTTATTTTTTTAATATTTTTTAATCATAGCTTAAAAATTACACGAAGTTAAATTTTTTCTATTTTCTCAAGAGTTGCTTTTCAGTTTTACTGTTACCTATACTGTGTGATCCAATATTGTTACTAAAGGAAGTCCAGCCAAACTCTCCTGCTTCACGCGCTGGAATTTGTCCCGAAAAAGATTATATTGTGGGGACTTCGTCTATGGTTTTTAATAATCCAAATGACATCGTACTTTATAATTTACTCCATAATTTTTTATATATGTTCAAATATATATAAAAAGTGAAGAATTTTGTCTTTTTTAGTAGCTGTATCTATAGAAAGCTACTTATAAATATAACTTATTTACAGTTATTATTGAACTGTATATTGTAAAATTTTTTAATATTCTAATTTTAAAATTAACCTTTACATATTTAAATTATCTTTATATTAAACCTTTTTTTGAATATTTTTTAAACTATATATACAGATGGAGGAAATTACAATCTAATGTCTTCACGTTTATATTTATATAATCGTAAATTATAGCAATTATATATATAATTTTTTTTTATTTTTTCTTTTTTTTCAATTTTTAATTTTAATTTCTAAGTTTTTGCTATTAGAACTTTATGACAAGCGGAAGTTAATTTTCTTTGTTTACAATTCGGAGGACTATTGTTGCCGTGAGTGCCCTGTCGTGCCGGACGTTGACTGGGGCGGCCAAGGAAGGTGCAACTTCTTGAGGGCTTCTTCACTTTATATATCTTTCTTTCTCCTGTTTTATAGTTTTATCACTAGTTTGCCGGTTTATTTGTATAGTTGTTTGCTGTAAAGCTGTAATATAAATGTTACAAGTTACTTAACTTCTTAATTCTCAACACAATTTTTTTGTAAACTTAGAGAAATAAAATAAATTCCTTTATAAACTTTTTTTTAATCTATCGTTAGCCTGGGATGTACGTTGGGCGCTGGGCTTCTACACCAAGTAGTGAAATCTCCAAAGATTAGCTCAACACATCCTACAGAGAAATTATCTCACGGATTATCTGCTGCTGTTATTTTCAAAGTTCCGGCTCAAGCGGAGAAAGTAAGTAACTCTCCTACTTCTATTCAGTTGAAAAGAGTATTTTACATTGGTCAGAATGAAGTTTCAAGCGCTACAGGGAGGACAGAAAACTGCGAGAAGGAAGGGATATGCCAGGAGTTATAGTAATACTAGCAACGCTGCTGTTACTGCTTACGACTAAAGTGGTTATTTACAGTTGCAATAAATATATGAATTTAAGCTTTTTTTAATCAAAATTTCAGATAAAAAAGTGCTAAGTTCCAAGTAATATCTTGGTTGTTTAAGAAATGCTTTTTGTAGGAAAGTATTTCGAATATTAAGTTAACTTTTTTGTTGGCAACTATTATTGCTGCGTGTAAAAGTAGATAAACAAGTAACTTCTCTAGTTAGTTTTAAACTCCCAACGCCGAGTAATATTTATGGCTAAAGTAAGCAGGAAAATCCTTTAAGGTCTCCTCCACTCTACTTCAAACCCTTTATGCGACGAGATGTTCTTTGCAAAGTTAAAGAGCAATCTTCTTGACCCAGCTAAGCAGTTGTTGAGGTCGTTCGTCAACCTATGAACTCTTTGATTTCGTTAAATAAAAACCTTAGGTTGCCCTCAGATATTTTTGTGTTAAAGCGAAGAAACTGTATACTTTTAAGAACTTATTTTTTCTCCTGGGCGCGTTCACAGTCAGCTTCTGACTTTCCTCGACTTCTTTTTACTAACTTTATTGCTTCTTCAGGTGTCAAGTATAAAATAAGCGATTAATAGTAGGAAACATCGCAGTGTACGCACAAGATAAAAAGATAAAGCAGGTTGGGCTAATGTATTATATGAGTCATAAACGCATTAAACAGTGCTACAGTAAGCGAGAAGAGGGAAACAGCAAAAACCCCTTTGCTTTTTAAGTTTAAACTTTTCTTGAGCAAACATTTAAAATTGTAGCACCTTTATTAGCTGCTTAATATATTAAGTGTTTTTTCCAACTATTATATCAAGTAAAAAGGAAGGGTGCGTCCTAGGGCTAGACAAACTTATTAACCGTTTCTCTACAAACTATCTTATGTTGAAAGTAACGTAATGTATGACTTCAAATTAACTAACTAAGACTAACAGAAGTAGTTTAAAGAAGATTAAAAAAAACCCAGAAAAACACAAAAAAGGAGAATGAAGCTGCAACCAAAATTATTAATTGTGTACAATACAGTTTATAAAAAGACAAAAATTTATTACACGAGGATTAAAGATCCATAAAATTCGCCATAAATAGAAGACCCTCTAAGCCAAAGTTACACCTGTTTTTTTGTTAACAGTCAATTTAACAGATTTAGAGGAACGATACCAATGCCCATTCACGACAGTAATATAATATGACCTTTATGCCGACCGCTTGTGAAAGAAAAACCGTTTGAGCGTATTGTAGTTTCATTACTCGAAAAGACTGTAATGCGGTGGTAAGTCTTAATGCAAATAGTAAACTTGAAATAGTTAGGAAAATTAAACAATAAAAAACTTGCATTAAAAAAAAAAGAAAGAGAGACAATTGAAAACGTGCACGTTACTTACAAGAGTCAAGGAGAAATTAAAACAGCAGTTTAGCCCTTTTAACCCACCAAACTACTGCTATGAGCAAAAATGCAATGGTTTATATACAATATAATTTTTTATTTTTTTTCAAATAAACTTAATAGCTGTAAACGTTTATTGCAACTTTTACAAAGGGCAACACAACCGAAGCCTTTAAAATATTATAAAAGATGTACAGGCTCAACAACTTTCATAAATTCCCACCTCATAGTAGTTGTAACAAACCCGAGTTCTAAGCATTTAAGAAATATTTTGTTTTAACAAACCATCGATGGTTAACAAAAATAGGCACCATAATTATATTACTAATTGGAAGGTTAAAACATACTTTGTGCTGACATAAAAAATCCTACCGTAAAAAAATTAGATGAAGCAATAAAAAAAAATAAACTATTACTAAAAACTAGGTAGAGCTACCAAAAACTATATTAAAACTTATTTTTCCTTAGTATTTTACTCTATCGTTCACAAAAGAAAATTAACTTAAAATTTAGTATTCAAAGATTTTATTATAAAATTACTAAGGAAAACATATAACTTAATCAAGCATATTTTTAGAAATTTTATAAGCAACAAATCTAAAGTTTCTCTTTCCTTTTTTAAATTTCCATAAATCTTCATCGCAACGATTGGTACCTTTGACCAAATTTCTAATAAGGAAAGGGTTCCTATTACTTTGATAAAGGTGTATCTCTCAGTAGTTAAGTAAGAAAATTAATATTTCAACCACTTTCCAAGTAAGAGATATTTTTTTACTCTTTCTTGATAAAACGTGAACGTTTCAAGTTTTATTTTTTTAGAAATTTCTTTGCTTACAAAAGAGTAGTTTTCTTCATTACAGCTTTCCTGTAATTTTTCCAAATTTTTAAATTGCATTTTCATAACTTTATTTACGATTGCTAGTTTCCTTTTTTGTCGCCTATAATTTGTGAGGCGAAAAAACAGAATTTGTCCTGTGTACAATATAAAAATATATTAAAAGTTTAAGCATAAAATATTATATAATAATGTATAAAGTATTTAAAAATTTAAAAACTACCAGAATTGCTAAATATTCAATAATTACTACTGATGGGAGTATTTAAATAACACATATATTTTCAAAAAAAAATTACGCTATTTTCTGTAAACATAACAGAATCGTGGGTAGGTCTAATGAGGAAGATTTTTTTTGGTAAATGTATCTTAGCTGTTGAATTAGGATATTCAAGCTTTATACTATTTTTAAACTTCCTTTCTTCATCACCTAGAGTGAAATGTCAATAGGGCTATAAGTGTGAATAAAATAACGAAAAACCACTAGATATTATTTTGGGAGATTCTAGTATCACATCCTTTAAATTTTCGAAGAAACGAACTGGTTTGTCGGTGCTTATGCTATTCTCTTCTTTTTTAATGCCTGATTATAGATTTTCATTGTAAACACTTTCTCTAAAATTTTTAAATTAATATGACTTTCTGCTCTACATCCGTCGTAAAGTGCTTTATTACCAGGCGTCCCAAATTCCTTGACTTTTATAACTTTTTGATACCTTTTGAAAACAAAAATATTTTACTTACACTAGAAAAAAAATTAGTCTCCATACAAGTTTTCAAAACTAAGTTGAACGGCTGTAGAAACATCCATGCCACCAAGCCTCTTATTCACCACAGTTAAGCAAGGGTTTTTTCAAATAACGGGTAGGGTGGAGCGCTCGAACTATTACCCATTTTTGCTTCGCAAGCTAAGGGCAATGCACAAATAAAAATTATGCAAAAGTGGAAAGCTTTAAAAGAGTATAATGCAAGCACTCAGTAGCTTACATTTATTTATAACTCTGACATGCTACAACCAGGCCTCTCTTTAAAAAGACTTCAACTACTGTTTAATCTAATCATGTTGCGGTGAAAGATCGGATGATAGGTAGTCAGGTTAATTAAGTAGTCACTGGAGCGTCGGACGCAATCAAGTTGATGCCGAGGCCTCCTGTATTCCTAGTATAAACTCGTATCGTAAGTTACTTCTTAAATAAATAGAGGATTAGAATGAGCCAAAAACTTTTTATAATTAACTTGGGCTGGTACATTGAAAAAAATTGTGGTAAAGTTTCACTTTTTTAAGTCGCGGTGAAGCATGAAGCTTGGAACAAACCAGGGCGCACCTAAAATAATTCCCAGTATAGAGTTTTCTAACACCTGGAGCGGCTGAATAATGGCAGGGGGAAAATATGACCATGCCACAGATGCATAGGTCACCTTTGGTCTGATAGTGGTGAGAAAAAAGTTAAAACTTGCTGTGTTCGAAGAGAAGACTTCTGGCAGATAAGTGGGTACAGTAGGTTGATCTTTCTAAATTAGCTTTTTTCATGACATACTCCATATGGTTGCGCTAAGGGAGTCTGTTGTCTATAATGACGCCTAGACAATTTAGAGCGCCAGGACAATAGCGAACCATTGATGACAATTGGTTGAACACAATCTTTTACACCTTTTAAGTAATGATTATAGCTGCGTTCTTTGATAGGTTAAGAGTAAAGTGCTACCGGGCGAACCAGAGCACGGTCTTTTCAATGTATGTTTGCGCATGTTTTGCTGCTAGAAGAACTGGCTTAGATATAGTAAAGATAGTTGTGGCATCAGCGAATTGGGACAAAAATGTTGAGGTATTGGTCGGTCTGAGTATGTCCGCCATGTAAATCGAAAAGAGGAGGGGTGGAAGTAAGGAACCTTGTGAGTCGTCTTCTCTGAGTTCCTTTCAACTTGAGCGTGCCTTATAGTAAAAAACATTCTACGGTGCAGTAATGATTTAATAAGAAAGCGGAGGTAATCTGGTATTCTTAGGTTGGTCAGTTTAGTTATGAGACCCGCATGCCAACTCTATCAAAAGCCTTTTCAATATCTAAGAGAAGAGCTCATGTGAACTCGTTGCGTACCTGAAGGGCCCCTACTGAATCCACATTGGTTTTCAGGAATGGTATGGTTTTGCTCTACATATTTTAGTAATTGCATGAGTATAACTACCTTTGCTACTTTACCAGCACAAGATAGTAGACTTAATGGGCGATAGTTCGCTCGGTTTGAAAAAGGGTTTTTTATTTTAGTGGAAAATAACAGTGACCACTTTCCATTATTACAGGATAGTGAAAAACTAAGAATAGGTTAATTTTAAGAGTAAGAGTTTTTATACCCGATTCAGCTAAGTTTTTTATCATGAGATTTGTTATACTATTAGGATCTGGTTCCTTTTTGATTGAGGTGTTAATAAATGGTTGTACTTCTTCGAAGTTTTTGCGTCTCTTTAGCGGTGCTTGCTTACTTGAGGAGGATAAAAGTTGGTAAGGCTAGTTGCTCTACCTGAAGGGGTTATTAAGGTTGGCACTGGGATATGAGACACTGAGCAAAGTCTTCCGCTTTCTCTCCTTTGTCGTCGTAAACAGTCCCGGTTTTTCGACTTGTATGAGAAGTTGTGCTGTTTTTGGCGGTTCTCTATAGATTTTATGAATAGCCAATAGGAACGAGGGATATTGCTATTCATTAAGTTGGAAGCTTTTTCTCCCATTTTTGATTGTGAAGTGAGTCTATTTTAACTTTTTAATCGGGATTGTTTAGAAGTCGTTTATCTTCAGGGGACCGAGTTGACGCAACCTCCCTTTTTGCTGTTTTCTGGATTGAATAATAACTTAAACTTCTGTCGGCAGATATGGTTTTAAATATGATTGTATCATAGTGGTATAGATCTTTTGGTATGATTGAATGCTCGGGCGTTCTAGGTTAGCTACTGAATCATTAAAAAGCAGGGCGAAATAGGCCTTAAAGGATTGTATTTAAATTTTTTTTCCAAGAATATTCATGAAAACAACTGGTATATAAAGACGGGATTCTGGGGGGCCTATTTTAAGAAATACAGGTGATGGTCCCGCTTAGGAATGCCTGTTGGGTTTTTTTGGGACCCAAACAATTAATCTTTTATCTTTAACGTACTGTTGAAAAATTCTACAGTAGGATTTCCCTTTCTGCTATCCCATGTGAATTTCTGCAGTTCAGATCACCCACATAGAATTACGGAGTTTTGACAGCTCATAACGAGGTTCATTTCGTTTTTTTTTTGCTGGAGGCTTTTCCAGATTTATCTACAGAGAAAATCGCTATATCGCCTTGACCATAAAGATTTACGTTAATTGCAATCGCCTCTATGAAAGTTAACTGACTAAATAAATCTCTGAGTGGGCAAGGTGTAACCCGACTAATACTGCTACTCCTTTTCGTGAGTCAATTCTGTCTTTATGATATATATTTAGTTAAGCAATTTAAAGATTTCCGGCCTTCAGGCGTGTTTTGCTTACAAGAATTATATCAATTTCTTATTTTTAGAAGCTCTTTCAATTCCTCTCTCTTGCAGCGCAGCCATTAGCGTCCCATAAAAAAATAGGAATGTACTTCAAGGTGTTTTGCAGGACTATCATAATTATTTGAGAAACTTATTAAGCAATTTGACTATAGTAAAAAGTGTATTTTTTAAATGTAATTACTCGTAAGCAGATTTTCAGTGTGGACCCTCTCGTTCGTCGAAGAGGTAAAAATGATTTTTTTAAGGGGCGCTCCTGGTTCAGGTACAGTAGTGGTGGGAGCAGGTTGCAATCCTCTTAAGTATGCGTTTTTCGGATAATATTTACATCCCTTTTAGTTTGCAGTGTGATTGCCTGACAATTAGCACGTTTTGGGGGAAATTCCGGGGTTTTTGTGCGCCGTAAAGTTTCGTGATTCTCGACAGATTTGACGCACTTAAGGGCTGAGGTGTTGTTCTTCAAGCTTTCCACAGGGATTAAAAGATGAAAGAAATATAAATTAATACTTCAGACCTTGGTAGATTCACGAAAACAAGTGGAGAGGTTTCTTCCTGTCTCAAGCTTTTCTTTCGAGCGATTTTTTAAGGGTGAAATCGCTACTGTCTTAGATCTTTGATCTGTTCCAGTCCAATTCTAGACATATACCTCTCAAATCTACTTTAAGTACTCGCTTTTCAGGTAGTTAACAGGAGGAATTTCATAATTTTTTTCAATCAGAAGCTTTGCAGCTTTCCGAAACTCGTCAGAACTTGAGAGGAAAACTTAAACGCCCTATCGGGTATCTCTTGAGGTGAGCTATTGACGTTACTGTTTAATATAGGGGTCACTTATACCTTTCAATCATAACTTGGTAGGAAGGTTTATTTCGGTGAATGTGAACTAGTATGGTGGCTGGTGGTGACGTTACTATTAATTTTAGAAGTTTTACCACTACTGTTACTGTCTTGATAATAGGGGTGTAAATAATGTTTTACTATGGTCGTCGCTACTATTTGTAAATAGTACTGTACTGATCACTTTCGTTATCGTTACTATATTTGTTATTTTGGCCACAATTTTTATTATAGTCATTACAATTAGTAATGATACCATTTTTATTACTAATGATAGCAACTTCGACTGCATCTACGGGTGTGAGCTCTGAAAAAATAATCAGAATTAGGCTTTCAGAGGTAGAGATTTTCCCTTTCGCTTTTACGACGCATTAAAACCGGAAAACACCATTGCGAAGGGGTGGGGAAGGTGGTGGGGGGACTAAAATATAATTGTATGCATAACAATAATTGAAAATATAAATAAAGTAGAGGGGAAATTTGAGTTTCGTGTTATATATGTAAATAAATAAAATATTTATAGCAAACTCGTCATCTGCTTATTCTTAGTTTAAAAAAAAAATTTTCCCCCTATTCTCAATACTTAAACATTTCCCATTTATTTACAAATTACTTTTCCTGTTGCTCGATCTTTAACAACTTCGAATACTCGAGCTTTCAGCCAGAAATAATGGCAAATTAATAGTGTTAGAACACGATACCTTAATAAAGGAGCTCCTGCCCCTTAGGGAGGGCACACTTTTGGGCGTGGTGGGAATCTAACAAATAGACGAAACAAGGATGAGGGTTAACTTTATTTTAGTTTTGTATCGCTTTTGTTCATAATTATGTTTTTCGAGAAAATAAAAAATGTTCGGTGATATTTTCAATGATATCTTATTTAGATTTTCGTAGCTCTTAGTCTATTATTGCTCCATATTATGTGTTGGTTTTCAACAAAGCGTTATCGAGAAATTATGTTACTAAAATGTGAGTGGCTTTGTAATTATGTCTACCAAATTGAATATAAAGGGTGTACTTCAGCATAAGTAATTTCTTCTTATAATGTATCCTTAATGTAAAGTCAAGCTATGTTGATATATCTTAAATTCCTGTTCGATGCACCACCTTCTACTCTATCTTTTTCTGCTTCTTTATAAGTATAATATTTTTTCTTTAATCAATAGTTCAGAATGTTTTTTTAGGCCAACTTTTTTGACATAGCCACGCTTAAAGCAACGTACTTGGCCTCACAAGATTTATATTTGTTATATCTATATTAGGAGACCAATGCACTGGAGATCCATTAACTAAAATGACATAACCTATGGTGGTTTTATAACCGCAGGAGTCAGCCTAAGGGGGATCACTATAGCACTCAATTA